CCACACAGAGAGCCTGTAATGAGACGGAATATGACACCACACCCTCACCATAATGAATTCTATTCAGTTTCTAGCCAGACCTGGCAGAGCAACAACATCTCTATATATCGGTCATGGCTTTTCTAAAACGCTAATGGCCTCGTAATGAACTTGGAGCAAATGAAAGTAAAACAGCTGTAATTAAATTATTGTCACCGATTTTGCATATGCTTTGAAAGTACACACATCACCACTTGCTCACCGGGTGGCTGCCTTCCCCTCACAAGTGCCCAGTGGCTTCGACAGGGCGTACACCACCTGTCACATCAGCAGCACCTGAGCCAGCACACGATAGGTGCTCAAGAAAAGATTTTGAACCCACGAGTGTGCATCTCACTGCGTTCAGGTGGGCCCACGTCTGTGACAGGAGCCCCCAGAAGATCACCTGGGCTGTATTCCCAGACGTGGGCTGGCTTGGGTCATATGTGGGAATCAGAGGCAAGAACACAATCCAGTCACCTCTCTGAGGTAAAGCCGCCTTAAGTCCTTAGAAGCAGAGGTATGAGGGCCATCGAGCCTTGAGTCCTCACTAATTTACCCAGCGTGGAACTTGTCTCTAACTGGGACAAGGAAAGCTGTCACTTCTGTTGGATAAATCTGGTCTCCCTTGGACGGAATGGGTGGGAAGGGACACCAAAGCACCTCTCATCGCTGAAGCACTGGAGAGAATCGCCCCCAGGAATTTCCTCACGTTGAAGGAGAAATACAGGTAACTGCCTCATTTCACACAAACATGCAGAGCCTGCGGAACGATGGGCCTCTGACCAGACGAGTTCATGTCAGTCATGCGTGGGAACTCTGGGTTTCCCACATAACTCGTCTGGAGCCAGGCCTCTGTTCTAAATGGACACATTCTCTCCACCAAGGGTGGGGGCAGGGAGGGCGGCCCGGGCAAGGAAGAGAGAACAGTAACCCTTCCGACTCCAGCCGCACCGTAATGATAATTATTCCTTACATTCAGTGTAACATGATAGAGTTTAGTTCCCACAACTGTCCTAGGAGATTAGCTTTTAGTGTTGTTTTTTTTTAATACAAGAGAGAAAAATTGTCCGAATTCCCATTCTGTGACATGGAACCTGCCGTTCAGGCTCGTTGCAAGGATTAGAGGAGATGAGATATGTGAACTATCTCTCCCTCAAAATTCCTTTTCCTTCCCAGGGAAATTCCCGCCAGCTGCCTACCGAATCCCTCCTCTGGACCGGAAAGGGCGACCGGTCCGGTAAGGGATGGAGAGGGGTCACCTTCGCTAACCTTCGCTCCTCTCTTTTCAGTGCAACGGCTGGACCTGGTACCTGGCCAATGACTTCCAGTTTCATCTGGCAGCACCAGCCATCGTCGCGGTCCGTGCAAAGTGAGTCTCACTGGGCGACGCTTCTCCCCACGTGGCCTCTTTCACCGAACGCTTAGGGGGCCCGAACGCGGAGTCCACCGCCGTTTCCCTCTGTTTACCTCCTTCCACGTTCCGACTGGGCGCCGCTTCCCCCCACGTGGCCTCTTTCACCGAACGCTTAGGGGACGCTCCTGCCCGAACGCGGAGTCCGCCGCCGTTTCCCTCTGTTTACCTCCTTCCACGTTCCCCTCTCATCCTGGCCCCGTGCAAATCTTGCAGAGTCACAATCAGGATGTATGTAACGTCTCAGGCTCAGCTTTTCCCATTTAACGCCTTATACACATTCCCACGTATCGACATGACCTGCATACTTGCCGGGTTTGGGATTTATATAGCATTTTTTATCGTGGGGCATCTAGATTGTTTCCAGTTTTTCGTGGTCATAAACGGCACTGAAATGAATGTCGTTGAATACAGTACTTTTTCTCTTAGTTATTTCCTTGGGGACATATCTGTAAGGGGGATTACGAGGTCAAAGGGTAGGAACAATTTTGAGGTGCTTGATACATATTGTGAGATTGCTCCCTGGAAAAAGTGAAGTAATTTACGGCACCCTAAGGAGCGTGTCAGGGTATCTGCTTCTCCACATTGGGTATTTATCCGCTGAATTTTTGTTAGTTTTAGAAAAGCTCTAAGATTTCAATAATTTATGGAGAGACTTATTGTTTGTGAATCATCCATGCCATATTTAAAAAGATTTATTCTCCTCTTTTGTTGAAATACGTGTTTAATTTAAGAACATTGGAAAAAACATTAGGACGAAGAGTGGTTAGAGCACAATCACCCTCGATCCATTTTGTCCCCCAAGGAGAGGTAAATTTGTTGTTAGCATTTTTGTGTTGATCCTTCTGATCTTTTTTTCTGCAAAGATTCTGCATATACACTTTAATATCTTTTTAAAATAGTTTTATGAATACGCACTTTCCTATATTATTTTATTTTTTAAGTAAACATAATTTTAACGTCCGCATAGCATTCCATTCTATGAATGAACTCTTATACCTTCCTCTCTTTCTAAATGCTTGGATTATTTCCATTTTTATACCTTTGTAAAGAATAGTCTGATAAACATTTCCATGGTAACCATGGGTCTCCAACTCTAGTGTTTCTTTAGAAACACCCTTAAGAGGAATTATTGGGTCAAAGGGCATAAATATCTTTTGGGATCTTGAACCATCATGACAAATTGCTTTCCTTAAAGTTTGTATCAGCATCCAGTCCTCTGGCTATCTAATTACGCCATGGCCAATATGGAATGTTAATAATACAAAACGAGACGTAAACTTTGCTATTTTGATATGTGAAAATGACATTCCTTTTTCACAAGTCTTATAAGTCTTTGATTACTAGTGGGCAGGGCTGAATTCCAAATGTGTGCTGACCAGCCTCGTTTCACAGTTATCTGTTCATGCACAAGGCATACATTTAAATCTCAGGCTGCATCATGATGTCGCCATTTGAGCCTCAGGCAAATATTCAAACTCTTGGGCAAGGAAAAGGCATCCTAATTTTAATTTAACGTAAGAATTAAACATTTTAAAAAAGGCACATCTGCTTTTAAAAATCTGTATCTTAAACACACGAAGCCTTTTAATTTAATTTTTTGACTGACTGTTAAAAAATTGTTCCATGACTATCCACTAAGAAGCGATATGCTGGTAAGAGTGAGTTTGATTGAGTCAGAAGACATGGGTTCAAGTCATGACAGGTAAAGACTAGCTAGGGGGCCCAGGGTAAGTCACTGGACTCTCATGGTCATTTTTCATATCTATGAAATGGACATGATAACACTTCACGTCAGGGTTGGAGGATAAAGCGAGATCATACGCTGGAACCAGCTCAGTGCTTGCTTGTTTGTGATGTGCAACCACATATCAACTCAGCTACCTGTCCTTTGAGATTCCATGTAATTGACATTGTCCCCAGCTACATGTCCAAGCAGTGGCATCCCCTTGCCCTTCCAAATATCTGCAGGTACTGGGGGACAGGTGGCTGGAGAATCTACTGAGTATCTGCTCAGTTAGACCTGTTCAGCGCTGGCATCTCTCTGTCTTCTCTGCACCGTCCCTATTCCTCAGAGGGTCCCCTCGTCCGTGCAGCCAGTCCCCTTCCTTTATTTCCTCTCGAACCACCCTTTCTAGAAGGTGTTGCTGTGGAGCAGATTTTAATGAAGGCTTCCAGGACTGGAGGTTTTGCATTCTTCTTTGGCTCTGCCTGACCCCTTCTCACACACTTCCTGCTTCACCACTTCTCAATTCCTTCTGTTCTGAGGGGGATGTGGAGACCTTGAATGAGTGCCAGTCTTGGGGTAGGGGGAGGGCGGTGGCATCTGTGCCTCAGTGCATACCGTGGAGGGAGGGAGAGGTGAGGCCCAAGTTCTCCTCCACCCATTCCCCCAACACAAAAGCACCCTAATCTCATGTCTTATTTTCTTGAAGGGTGGAAGGGAGTATAATTTTTGATAGTGTAATAGAACTGACAAAAGTATATGAGCTCAACTATAGAAATGAGATTTGATAATCACATTGCTATTTATTTTGGGAATAAAGATCTTTTTAAAAAGCTCTGAACATCCTCGCCTGGAATCTAGACCTACCACTTTATGTCTATTTTCTTTGTATTCACATCTCCCCATGAAGCCACTGAAGGTGAAAGGAATTAAGAATTAATTCCTTTCACCTTCAGTGGGAATTAGGCTAGGAAGGCCAGGAGTAGATAAGGTGACTTTGGGTTGGATGGTGAGCAAGCTCCTCACCCCCAAGTCCCCTTGAGGGGTCAGCTGATTACCTGAGCATCTCTGGGTCACCGATTCCTCCTGCTGCCAGGGGAGGGGCTCCCCAAGCAGGAGCTGAGACACGCTCAGGCCCACGGGGCTCTGTCTCGGGTGGACTCTTCCTCCAGCAAGGTAGTCAAACCCTGAGAGCTCCCTTGGGGGAAGGGGGAGCAGCTGGGCCCGGCAGAGCCAGGGCTGGCCAGTTCTCCGGGGCTGTCACAGTCTGTGATGGGCTACGGCCCCTCAGAGGGCTCAGGAGACTGCAGCGAGTGCCCGCAGGTACAGGTGGGGCGGGTGTGAGGCATCCGCAGGCTCGGCAGCCCTGGCAGAGGAGACGGGCAAGCCTCTGCCGGCTTCCTCGGAGGTGGCACTTGCAGCGGGATGCTCTGACTGCTGGTCCAGCTATTTAGTGGAGAAAGGGCAGGAGAAATGCTGTGGGAAACCCTGGAGATGGTGCCGGGGGCAGGCAGAGGCCAGCGAGGCAGCCCAGAGTCTTTCCAGACCAGAGAGAGACACTGGTGTTCCTTCCTCCCCTGGCCTAGGGCTCCCAAACGGGCCTTCGGAAGGACTATTACTCTTGAGAGAACAGAGTAATAGTCCTTGAAGTAATAGTCCTGTGCTTGAAGCTCTGGCCTTTCTCACTCTCATTGTCCTGGGAGCGGTTCCCTCAAAAAGCTAGAAAACACAACCGCTAACCTAGCACCAGGCCATATGTGCCGGGGTCAAAGGTCCTGATTAGTGAGGCTGGGGCTCCGGAGGACGAGGGATTAACAGGAGGGGAGGTGGGGCGTGTGTCACTATCGCCCTGTGTGGTTGTTTGGATACTTCTGCATATTAGTGTACTCGGGCTGCCATGACAAAGTACCACAGCCTGGGTAGCTTTAACAACAAAAATGTACTTCCTCACGATTTTGGAAGTTGCAGGTCTGAGATCGAGGTGTGGGCGGGGCTGTTTTTTTCTGAGGCCTCTCTCCCGGGCTTGCAGACGGCCGGCCGTCTTCTCCGTGTGTCCTCTCATGATCCTCCCTCTGTATGTGCCTGTGTCCTAACTTCCTCTTTTTCTAAGGGGACCAGTCCCATCGGATTAGGGCCCATCCCAATGACCTCATTTTGCCTGAATTACCTCTTTAAAGACCCTGCTTCCAGATGAAGTCACATTCTGAGGTGCTGGGGGTTAGAATTTGGAAAAACACAATCCAGACCGTAACAGTCTCTGTCAGGAAGCTTATCGGTTTAGTTATAGCGGTGGTGAGCTGGTGGACACTTGTCTGACTCCTCAGAGAAGGTGCCATGGATTGGGCTCAAGTCCTCCATGGAGTTAAATAAATATTTGGGTGAGTGTGGATCTTTTTTAGATGGCCTGACTGGATGGTTTACCACCCACCTAGGACAATCAGTTTAATACCTCCCCACTCTACACTTGAGTGTCCCTGTGACTGAGGAGTCGTGACCCCAAAGTCAGCATCTTTCCTAGAGGCTGCAGATAGAAGGCAGATTTCAATCCCTCAGCCCAAAGCCAGCACTATCCAAGCTTGTGACTCTGCAACTACATTTAGCTTTTACATGGAGGGAGGGATAGAAGGCAGGCTTTTTTCCTTCAGAGGACACACGTGCCTAGAATTCTAGTAATTCAAGGACAGAGCTAGAGGGTCTGGCAAAGGCACAGTAAATAACCAGTGTTACCAGTCCTCACAGCCCATACTCAGGGTAGACATTACTAATCAACCACGGCACCACTGAGCGAAGACTCCTCCTGCATTGCTCATAGCAACACTAAACTAGAACTGGCACTCTGGATGGAAATCGTTTGCTCCCTATATCGCTGTGCTGACAATCGAATGGTATCTCTTCCCTTTCTCACGAAGAACCACGGCGACTTCGAGCAGTGGGGTAGGGTTGGCAAAGGTGTCATCCAGGTAGGGTTGTGCCTGGATGGTCTTGCACCTCTGTTGAACGTCTCTTCTATATACCACAGACCCTCCTGGTCCCAATCCTCACGATTCTGAGTAGGTACAACCAGAGGGAGCTTCACGCTGAGCCCGTGTCCCCACATCTCGTTTCCTACAGAACCTCCTACATCCTGTAGCTAGGACTCTTCAGGAACCCTCTCGGCCGTGCCCATGCACAATCCCAAAGTGCGGAGGAATTCATTTGTGTGGGGTCGCCCTTGACCCTTGGGGCATAGAAGACAGTAGGGAAACACTTCCCTCTTTCATCCCCCAGGACAGTTTTCAAGTACATTTCATAAGATTCTGCAGAACATTCTGGAAGAATTGAGCACTGGCCATTTTGATAGCTCATCTTTGCATTGAATTTTCCCTGCTCCCCTGTTTCACTACCCCATCCTTCATTGCCACCCCCACGTGAACTATTTGCACCCAGATATTTGTATCAGAGCCCGCATCTTGGTGGGGGGAGAGGGAGAAAACCCCAGATCCTCCTCCCCTGTGCCTGGAGTCAGGGTGCCTGTGCACCCAGTGTCCCAGATCTCCCAAATCAACTACCACTAAGTTTGTACGGTGCTTCATAGGTGACAACAGACGTGCCCAAGCATGGTCTCATTTCGAGCTGCACAATAGATTTCAGGGTGGGGCAGGTAAGGATACCTTTACTCTCCCTTTCTAGGTAGGAAACTCAAGTTCAAGTTCCTGCCCAGGGTCGTGAAGCTAGTAAATGGTCACATCTAAAGGCTAGCTCAGGTTCTCCAGTTCCAGCCCAGCTCTCACCCCACTCAGCCTTTCTCAAAGGCAGGCCTAGCAGGAGGCCCTTCTGATTGCCAAGGTTTCAAGTCTTTGGTGTCCACAAATTTTGCAGGGGATGAAATTGAAGAACATTTCTGTCAATGTCCTCTCTTCTTTGCAGAAGTAAACACGTCCTTCTCCTCCTCGGGGCCGTGCTGTTCTTGGCATCTTTCATTGCCACTGCTCTGCTCACACTGGCTCATGACCTTCCGGTGGCAGCCCCATCAGAAGCAAGGTAACCACGCCTCCAGGCTGCAGGGCTCCATCCCTTGCCTGCCGTGAGAATGGCCAAGACCTCCCAGGGAGGGCTGCTGCATGAATGCCAGGCTGTTTGCCCTGTGCTCATGGGCTTGTGGGAAAACCGGGAGGGAAATGTTTGGCCTGGATAAAAAAGTTGATTGCAATTTTGTTTCCAAACTTCTGCACCTTTCAACTTGAACTGAGGGTCTTCTCAACACTGAAACATTTCTCGGAGGAAAGGAGCGCCCCCATGTGGCTGGATTGTGTTTCTCCTCCAGTGGCAAACAGCTGCTGGCTTTATTGTTGGATGGAGAAACTGAAGCTGGAGGAAGTTGGGGTTACCCCTTCAAGGTCACACGGCTAGTAAGGGGCATAGGTGGGAGTTGAACCTAAGACCTTCCCCACTATGCTATTTTGCCTCCCCAGTGAGGTACATATAACAATTCTTCCTTATAACCACTCTGTGTATTTAGTAATAAGAAAAACTGGTCATCGATTCTCAATACATCAGTCAGAGTGATTCAAATGAAAATCAGATCCTGTCAGTCATCCGCTCAAATTCCTCCAATGGCGATCCGCCGCTCTCAAAGTGGAACCCCTTTCTGACCTCATCCACCGCTCCCCGACTTGCCGACTCTGGGTCAGCCTCATTGGCCTCCCCACTGCCGCACGCCGAGCACGTTCTCTCCTCAGGGCCTTTGCACTTGCTGCTCCCTCACCCTAGAATGCTTTTCTTTAGAATCTAGATCTTGGCAGGGCTTGCTCCTTCAGTTCCCACAGGTGTCTGTACAAATGTCACCTTCTCGGAGCAGCCTTTACCAACCTCCCCATGTAAAACAGCCCAGAGCCAGGCCAGGTACATAGTACTCACTATGTATTTGTGACTGGAATGAATGAGTGAATGAATGAATGAATGACTACACCCTAGACCTTTTGACCAGGGGAGCATCATGCCCTTCTGTCATGTCACTGGCCTCCGTGGGCATGGCCAGGTGACCAAAAGGAGGCTCGCTCCCATCTCTCCCAGTGGTTCTCAACTCTGGATGCTTTTAAGTCCCACTGATGCTCCCAGATGATTCCACCGTCTCGAGCCAGTGGAATCAGAATCTCGGGGGGTGTGGCCCAGGCAACCGAATTTTGTACGCGCTCCCAGGAAGAGGTTCACTTCTTTCAGAAGAGGTTCACTTCTGAGAACCACATTTTTAGAGACGTCCTGATGTTCCAGTCGCCAGAAAAAAAACTGTTGAAAATGAACTCAGCCATCAGATTTCCTTGGGATCCAGCGGGGAGGGGCCCAAGGAAATTTGGAATTCCAGCAAGCCAGCGGTGGCCTCTGGCATGAGGTCACCGATGGGGATCGTTACTGAGGAAACGAACAAACATACTCCAATTTCCTTAGGATTTGCTGATTGCCTCAATGGGCATCTGAGCGACTCTCTTTTCCACGTCCAGATCAAACATAACCTTTCGTCTCATCTCCTTGTGATTTTAGCGAGAACGTGACTATGTTATATTTCTCGGAGTATTACACCAAGCCCTACTGCCGATTCGGGCCGTTCCTCGTGGGCCTCTTTCTGAGCATTTTTATGCACCAAAACCACCAGGGAGTCATTCTCAAAACCAAGGTAAGGTTTCCCTCTGCCTCACTGTGAGGGCCAGGTCTGCCTGGGACTGGGGTGGCCCATGCGGCCAGGCTCTTACAAAGCCCTGGGCAGGATCCAGACTGCTGGGCCTTTATTGTGGTGTGGTGCATTAGCGATGCCTTGGGGCTAGTAGATAAGAGGGGCCTTATCGTCTTCACTGAGCTCCCCTAAGAAAGCTCCAGACTTGGAACCAAGTGGGGTTCCACCCACTGGAGCCTCAGTACACAGCTAAGGAAGCCACTGATATCAGAAAACTCCCCCAGTGAGATTGCAAAGGCAAGACCCTCCTCTGAAAGGGACTTTTAATAGCACATGTTCTTTGACCCACAAGACCCGAGGGCAGAATATGTCTTACTCACCTCTGAATGCCGGGCACCTGGTTCTGAAGTCCTGATTCGCTGAAGGCACTCAGTAAATGAACGGAAGAATGATAATGTGCATCTCAATGGAAGAAGGGCTAGGAATTCCCTTGCATGGGTCGAGTACAATGCCTACAATGCCGTCACCAAATCCCCTCTGCTGGGCCCTACTTTTGTTTGCCTAGGTCTTATGGGTACCTCATCTAGACATTCCAGAAAGGAGGCCCTGGTCCCTAGGAAATTTTGTGTTGCTCATGGCAGGAACAAGAGATAGGGCTTAATTGGAAGAAATGGCTATTCAGGGGTTACGTGACCTTCCCAATAGGTCACAGTTATGACATTACCCTGAAGTGCACAATTAAGTTGTAGATTACAACGGAGTGCCTTTAAAAGGGGTGCTTCAGGGTAGTCCAGGTTACATGGGTGCCCAGGGAGAACATGGGGCAAGCAAAACAGGAAAATCTAAAATGAAGATGGAGCATTTGGGAACCGATCTGAGGCCTAGCTTAGGGCCAGGGGATGGAGTTAGAACACGAGTCAAGCTGAGATGGAGAAGCGATGGAGAGGATGGGTCAAAATGATGAGAAGCCGGAAAATAAGGACCCGGAGGCCAAGCCGGAGGCAGCCAGGATGTGTGTCGTGTGCTAGAGAGGAGTTGAGATGCTAGTTCAAGTTCATGTAGATGTCAGGAGCTTGAGAACTGAACCAAGAAGTGGGAGAGATCTTTAGACGACAGATCTGGGTCTAAAGACGTCACGTAAGGTGACATGAGATCGAGGATCTTGAACTGAGCCCAGGAATAGAATTTAACTCTTGGAGCTATTCTTTGAGCTGAAACTTCTCCGTCCCCCGATTCCTTCTGCCATTTTATGTCCCCAGCGGCGAGAGTACAGCCCAGGTAGGGGTCATGTTTGTGGTGGGGGCAGAACCAGTCAAGAAACCTTATTCGGTTAAGGGACAGAATGAGAATTAGTAGTGTGGGAGTGGGTTAGAGCATTATCTTTCCTTTTTTCTTTTAACTTTCATTTAAAAATGATTCAGGATTCACAGCAAATAGCAAAAATGGCACGGGAGGTCTTCTGTCCCCTTGACCCAGGTTCCGCCACTCATAACATGTTATATAACTATAGTACATTGTCACAACCCAGAAATAGTCATTGGAAGAATCCGTAGACCTTATATCCACTGGTTTTATGTGCACTTGTGTGTGTGTGTGTGTGTGTGTGTGTGTAGTTTCGTGCACTTTTATCCCATGTGTAGACATCATTTGTGTAACCACCACCACAATCGAGATACAGAATTCCTCTGTCGCCATAAAAGCCTCCTTCATGCTACCTCTTTATAGTTACACACCGGCCCTCCCGTCCCCTGCCCCAACCTGAACCCCTTGTAACCACTAATCTGAATCTTCCGTTTTAGTCAAATTTGGGCATCGATTGAGGTATACAAATAGACATCTAAAGTGACAATAATAACACAAAAACAGGAAGTTAGTGTAAAAGGAAGTAAATACACAATGACCAAAATGGGCTATGATGGCATCTTTCCTTTCCCTGTAGGTTCAGGCTCTGCTGGGGTGGATTTGCTCCCTGTCAACCCTGTTTGCAGTGGTCGCTCTGGCGTACGCAGTGGACGACACCTCAGTCACCCCTTCAGCTGCCGCTGCTCTCTACCAGGCCCTCCACCGGGCCCTGTGGGCGGCAGCTGTAGGCTGGGTCGTGTTTGCATGTCAGGAAGGCTATGGAGGTACGGTGCTCATGTGGCTCACTCTGCCCCCTTAGAGGTGACAAATGTGAAACCAGTGTATACGGAGGGACCTTTACTTGCCGATGAGTGACTCAAAAAATGTCAATTTGTCTGTATCCTTGGGGAAACCACCCCACGTATTCTGTTTAGGATTTTTACACTAGTTTATACACAAATGCTGATTCTGAAAGAAAATTTTTCATCCTCCTCAATGAAACTGGTTTAGAAGTCGGAAGAGAACAGGTAGGGTCACGTTGTAAGAAAAATATCCCAGTGCAGCGACAAGAGTTCTGGGCACACCCACCCTGGGACTTGGTGTGCTCATCCGGGGGGAGAAGCTGAATAGCTGCCCAGATGCACTCCCGTCCCTTGATAACAGGGGACCTGTTTCTATTCAGGCCCCTTGTCACATGAAGGAAGTCAGGCTAAAAAGGGGGCTTAAATGGAAAGAATCTTCTCCAGATTTGAACCGTCTGTTCAAGTCACCTGAGATTTTCTTTCCTTTCTTCCCAATTTGGCATGAGGTAGGAAATGGGTACTTGAGGTGTCAGCAAATGAAGAGACAAAGCCTGGCAGGAAGCATCCAGAAGAGGTCCAGGCCCCACGCTGTCCAGAAGCCTTCAAGATTTGGCACTAGAATCAGGCGGAGGCGTGATAACTTCACACCCTCGGGAAATGACCAGGATGAGCTTAAACTTTGGTCTGTGAACCCCAACCAGTTAGCAAAGGTGGTTAGAAACCATGGTTTAAAGAGAAAAATGACGAAGTGATCACACCACCTCCCGCTGCCTGAGCACAAGCTTACGCCAGGCCCCGTGGAGAACTTTCCCGTAGGACCCCAGGTCACACCGACCACAGCCCCATAAGCAAAACTCTAACTAGCTCTGTTTCTCAATGAGAAAAATGAGGCCTGGAGATGAAGCGACACGGGAAGGTCACACAGCTGGGTGGTGGCTGAGCGGCTGGAGGGGAACCCAGGACCGAGCAAAGGCCAAGGCCCATGTTTTTTATTTCTGTGCAATAATTTCCCTCTCAGATGTTTGATTATTCAAACTGATTTTGAATTTTGTGAGTATATAATGATGAGGAATTTTTTCTTTAATATTTTAATTTTAAAAGCTTTGCCTTAAACGGAGAAATGATGTTAAAAAGAAAATGGCTGCGTTCTCTCTGACTTGTGTATTTGCATCAATGGGCAGCTGTTTGGGTCACACGGCCACACACTAACACCACTCCCACTGGTGACAATGACCCGGAGCTGTCACAGAGCCTCAGAACATAAACAAACACTCTCCCTGGCCTGGCACAAGCCACGTGTGATGTGGTGGCAAATGTCACAGCATTCCTTCTAACGTGAAAAGTCCTACTGGATGCAGACTAACTGGCTAATATGCATCATGAATAGAGAGAAGGGACTTAGCTTACGTCAGAACATTAAACAATTTGAGGGTATTATCATTACAGAGGAGCTGGGAAATGATATTGATCATTAGCCTGAGTGGGGATGCTATCTCTGTGAATCCAGTGACCAACAAACCCTCTGGGTCTGTCTTGAGCAATTTATCTTTTCAACGTGTGTTGCCATTAGCCAATCACTATTATGGGGTGACCAATGTTCTAGGTTTGTATCTCAAACACCATTTTAAGATATCAAGATTGATTAAGGTGAATGGAGAAGGTGATGTGTTAGATAAATTTTTGGAAGATAGGTCCACCTGACAACCTTTAGAAAAATGAATCTATAAAAGAACTTTTAATGACGAAGAAGAGGTGTTTAATGAAAGTCTCAGGACAAGGTGGGATCTTCGTGACTCAAATCATCTTCTCCATCATCTTCAGCCAGTGCCAATGCAGACACTGGTCTTGTTCCATTCAAGGTCATAGTCTCCTTCAAGGTCATATTCTGTCGTGTTGCTCATGTCTCTCCTTCAGTTAAAATCTTTTAGTGGTGCCTTGTCATCTACAGCAGTGGTCCTCAAACTTTAACAATAAGTCGATCCATTCTAAAGATATAAGAATTCTTTTGGATCCTTAGTGGTGGCTTACATTATTTTAATTCTAATTTTACCTAAATACAAACAAACCTAGATACAAATTTTTTATGTCTAAAGCACATATATTTATAAAGCCAAAGTAAATTTAGAAAGCAACCATAAAACTATAAAACCAATAAAATATGAATTAACAACATTACTTTAATGTGATTAATGGTTGGCTGGAGCCAGTTGTAGGTCATGACATGAACATGGTATTGTTTGCTTTAGGACATGTTCCTTTGTGTTTGGTTGACCTGTATGACATCGGCTCTTTGCTGATTTAATTCTCCTACAACTATTTTATGTGTTCTCCAGTAATATCTTGCTTCGTCTTATCATTTGGCATTCAACTGGGGGCAAATACGTCTTTGTGTATGAGTCCATCTCTGTTTATTCACTCGATTAGATAAAATATTTATTGAATGCTTGCTCAGTGCTAAGCACTGTTGTAGATTCTGGGGATGTCGTCATAGACAAAAATCTTCTCTCTTT